TTAGAGACGCTAAAATACCCCCCCCCCCACCCACACACACACATCCAATGTGGTACTTTTCGGCGCGAATTCGGATTTAGTTGCGCTCCAATGTGGGTACCGAACACCGAGTGGGAAGCCAAAAAAAACATGAACGATGTTAGAGAAACCGTAATAGTATCTTAAAAGAGAAGAGTCTCTCATTAGTTAAAAATAATAATTAATCAAACAGGTATAATATTAGAAAGGAAAATTTATTTTATTCTAATTAGTTAACATTGATTATGAATAGTTTAAATAATTGTTATAAAAAAAATAAAACAAGGGAGATAAACATAATATTGCAACACCGAGAGAGGTTAACATTACAAAAGTCGAGCATTGGTGGAGTTATCCCAAAGTTAATAATTAGTGGAATGATATCAGACCGAAGCAGGTGTCCCAGAATGATGTGACAGCATAATAATCATGTGTAAGTTGAGAAAAAGAAAAGAATAACATTTGACGGGACCTAAACGCAATTCAAAAGACTAAACATCCAATCCATCAAAGTAGAAGCAGCAGCATATGTTATCTCCCCACCTCAGAGAAAATTAGTAAACTCTTCATTAGACGACATTCTTAGGTCGAGAAAAAATGTACGCCTCACTGCACTTTCTTTTTGCATACCCCCAAAAAGCATATGGCAACTCACTTGAAAACGAGAAAACAACGACGTGCATGCAAGTTTTTATCAAAAGAAACAACTTAAGAGACATTTTGAGCGTAATTCAAATCTTACTGACATCCCACTCGCATGAAAAAAGCATTAATCTCGCATGAAAAAGCATTAATCTTAGATGTCTACCGGTAAGTGTTGAATATTCTGAAAAGAACAAAAAAGAATCTAAACATATCATAAAGGCCAGTATATGCCATGCTGCTTACCATTCACACAGGTATTTAAGGAAATAGAAAATAGACTCAGCAAAGTAATAATCATACACATAATTCTCACAACTTGGTCACAAAACCCTAAAAAGAGCAGCTTCGTGACCCTTCATGCATGCACACAGGTTAGAATCTCCGCCTGGGACTTCTAGAACGATGGCCACGCGGTGATCTGCACAAATAAAGATCAAATAAGGACCCGCTGCATTTTAATTAATACTTCAACAACTCAACCTGACAGAAAAGTTCAGAAATGCTAGCAGAAAAGAAGAGTATATTTACTTCTCCAAAAAAAAAAAAGGAAGAGTATATTTTTTAATACTTTTTCTTTTCTGAGATAAATTAAAAAACTTAAAGAGGAAAAGACACCCTTGATTTTAAGGTCTCACTACAAACTCAGAAGTTTTTTTTTATAACCCTGGCGTCCGTGCTAAGCTTGTGTGCACATCGACCAATTTCACGGGATACCTGCTACCTCCCTTAAATATGTTTTTCATCTCTAATTCTTCCTAGTTTCTTTTCAGAATGTGCTACGGGAAACTGAAGATCTCTCTTAACAAAGATTCCTTCACCAAACTGAGAATGTGATCAACCAGGGTAACAACTAAGCTTCAATCTCAAACTATTTAGGGTCGGCTACATTTTAATCCTAAGTCTATGTTTTCGCTCCATTTTGACATGTTTCAATCTGATACTCCACAGTTCGGAGTTCTCCAAAACTAGAAACTCCCTGTACAAATCTCTAAATACCTTACAAAGAATATTAACATAACATGTAAGTGACGGACACGACTAAGTTTTAATCCTGTATGTGGATTTTTTGTTTCCATTGCATTCTTTTTGATTGCTTAGTATGAACTCCCAGCGATTGCAAGTATTTGAGGAGACTTCCTTTCACGAGATTTTAGGTTTATCCTATCCCCTTTTAACACCTTCAGTCATGAGCGTTCAATTATGTAACCAATGCCATAAAGTTTTTACGTGCATCTCACATACTACGCTAGTATAAAGAGACAGGCAATTTAAGCTATTGGTTGCTATGCGCTCTGATTGTTTGCTAACTCAAAAAGGAATAATCTAGATTTATCTGTCCATCAGATGTAGCTTCGACAATTTAGTTAATGATTGTAGTTAAACTTTGGAGCACCCATGAAGCTGGAGTTTACCTGTTGGCCATATGAAGTTTTAGGACAGATATAGCCTCATAATCTGATGGTGATGATTTATTAACTAGAACTAGACCTGATGTAGATCTTGTATGCAAGTTGAAAGTCAAAGCAGAAAACAATATACCCTAATTCGGCAACAACCAAGATTGTGCATAATATGGATATGTTGGTCGTTTCAACCCATAACATGATCGACGTGAAATCTAGTTCAATCCATCTCAACTTGGGTTAAAGCATAGTACCAAATTCAACATTTTGAAAACATTATGTAGACCATCAATTTCTGAAGAACAGAACCCCCAACTCGAGAAAAACAAAAGAAGGAAGACTAAAAGATGTAACAATGGTGCCCTTCATCAAAAGATATAAACCCTGGTGTCTCCAGTAGCAAATGGTGTGATAGAGGTGGGAAGGTGCTTCAACATGGATGAAGTACTAGGCTTCACAAAGTAAACCTAAAGTTGACAATATGTTGGATTTAAAAAGGTAGCCTGTTGCCACTGTTTAAACCTTCATATTTGATCGTGAGGTCTACTGCTGGCTATAGTTCCATCTGAGAGAAATGCAAGTGGCTGAGGACTAAATGGGTATGACAGATGATCTTGGGATCTAACTATAAGAACATGTGTGTTGAGGGCACTGACAATTCACTCCCTGGAGATAGGAGGCTTAACCACAATCAAATCACAGGGAAAGTAGGAAACTAGCTGGAAGCATCTTTAATACCACTTGAGCACTTGAAGGAATGGTGAACCTGATGCTTGAATAACAGCAGACTTAAAAAATAAAAAGAAATAAATACAAAGTACAGCAATCAAAACTCAGTTAACTTCATTCAGAAAAGAATGATTAAAGTGAAAAACTAGGGTCTTTCCAATGTTCAGGCATCATTTCTTCATAATTTTCTGCTTCATTTTCCATAAACCACATGTGACAAAGATACAATAGCATGGATAAACTATGGACATACCTCCTCCTAGCATTCCTCCTCTTGAAAGGACCTCTGCTGAACGCCCAATCAACATGTATAGTCTGAGTGAGAAACTCGGCTCCATCCTTTTCGTTTATAGCTCTTTGTGCTTCTTCAAAATTCTCATATTCTATCAATGCATAGCCCTACACAAAAAGTTCAGTTCAAGTACTAGAATAAAAAGGACATGCTCCAAGCTAAAGAAAATGCAAAACACACCGCATAAAGTAAGATGTCTCCCTCCAATAAGGACGGGCAGACACATGAAGAGTTTTCCTATCTAGAGGTTTGAAGATCCTCAAAATAGCTGATAATTGTAATTTAAAGATAATAATTGACTTCTGATAAGTGAATTTGTTCCAAGATGGGACATACTCATGGCTATGTGCATACATATGTTAGTGGTTTCCAGTCAGCTGAGGGTCTATCAAAAACAGCCTCTCTATATCTATAAGGTAGGGGCAAGGACTGCGTACACACTACCCTCCCCAAACCGCATATATGAGATTACACTGGGTTTGTTGTTGTTGTTGTACTAAAAGTTTCCCGTCAATGGTGGATGACTCGATGGTCAAACATCACAATGGTGCTGAGATGAGAACCATCCAGGTTTAAGTGCTACACCGGAAAACGAGCCCAAACTAAATTTGAAGGGAGCGTGGACTAGGGAGATAAAAGATAAGGAGAAGCATGTAGATATCATATTCCAATCTTCCTATTACCCTATAACTCAGAATTTTGCAACGATCAAGAAATAATACGTGTCAGCCTTGTCTTGAGAGGATAGGGGAAGAGGAAAGGCAGACAGCGCAAACAAATTGTTACCAACTGCTTGAAAATTGAATATCTATGTTTAACTTGCCGCAGATATTTAGAGAGTTGAAAGTATGAATTATGTAAAGGTAAAAAAAATATTTTTGTTAATTTTAAGGATTAAATTAGAGAACATGTCATATAGAGAATTTTACAACGGGACCCATATGACTTTTTGAACTAGATCAAGGGTAGAGAACATACCCTTTTAAGAAGGTAGACATCAGCTGAAGCGAACAAATAGAAAAAAGGATATTGAATATAGGACAAGCCAAACTTTGTCTTAATTAGAGGGAAGTATCTTCAAATTTGTTTTTAGTTCATTTTCAAAAAGAATTCCTTTGTTTAGCCATCCCATGCCAATTTTTCTATTTCATTTTTATGCTATAATCTTCATTTCTCAATCAAAAGAAAATTACTGTATAGCAGCTAGAATCTATCCTAAAAGAATATTGAGAATTTGAGAGAACGTTACAGGCAGAACTTTCTTTTTCTTGGATAGCCGAGAAATTCCCAAGGTCCAATGACGCAAGGTTCGGAACTCAATGGATAACAGGCCCAACCCTCTACCCTTCTCCACTTAAGTGTCAGGCTTTTGTCTGCAGCAGGAATTGAACTCGTGACATGCGCCTAACTCATACATTACACGATTTGCTCTTACCACTAGAACAAAGGGGCCTGTTACATGCAGAACTTAAATTCAAGGTATTGAGAATTTTGAACACAACCAAGCGTATAACAATTCAGCAGGCGTGGATATTAGGTGAATCTGCAAGAGGGGGGAGGCGAAATTCAAACATTGACATTGCAGCAACAGAAAGCACTTCTAAATCATCTTAACTAGCTAAACTTTTAACACGGTCTGCTAATTCTTGCCTATTTTCCTAAGAATTGCTCTTGTTATCATATTGCACTTCCTTCATTGAAAGGTGACCTGATGAGAATGCAATAATACAAAAATAAATGCTTGCAACAGCTAATCTTCACTATTGACTATTTATTCATATAGTCCCACCACATTCAGCATCTCCTCCTACGAATAGAAATTGTGCAACAAGCAACAGAATAGTAATCGACAGTCCGAAAAAGAAGAGAATCAGGTCACCTTGACAAATCCAGTCCGACGATCCAGATTCAAATGCACATTCTTGATTTCTCCGAACTCACCAAACTCATTATGAAGATCATCTTCTTGTGTCTCTTCATTAACCCCGGTAACTAAAACAATCCATCCTTCAATGGCTGCAGACATTGGAATTCAGTAAAACTCAAAAAACTTCATTGAAATTTTTCTTACCTCATCAACAGAAACAAAATTGAATTCAGCAAACAGAGGCCCTATTTAGCTGACACTTTGTGGTATTAATTACAAGTAATTGCATAACTTACATGTACTGTCTAATAGCTCACCTTATTTGTACTCTAAGTGTTCATTGCTCGTTATATGGCAGTAAACAACTAAACAAATAAGAACGAAATCAAATTGTCAAACTCTTTACCCACGTGTATATCTTTTTAGTAAACTCTTCACCCACGTGTTTTGTCAATCTAAATCTACAGAATAAGCTGTGGCCTATATCGAGTCAATAAATCAGAATGACCATTAATACTGTTCTTGTGCCAAGGTACTAAACTATCCAGAAAACATATTCCCATGACCCATATTTTGTGGGGTGAGTTCAGGTTAAGCTGGATTGGCACAGGACGCAGGCTGTGCTTAATTTTAAAAACTCCTAGTTTCAAAGTTCCCTCCTCTGTAATAATTTCCTTTCTCTGGACAGACAAAGAAACCAACTTTAACAGCTGGAAAACGCCGGCCGGTCTCTTCTTCATCTCTTTTCTGGCTATGCACATACTACGCACAACTTAAACCTAATATTACCAATCATTAGTTCCTCTGTTCCAAACTTTTTTTCCTGATTGGTATATTCTATCCCAGACTTTTGAGGGCCACGTTGGCTAATTCCCAATCTGAAATCTCACATAAATCAGTCACTTTTTCAGAATACAATTTGTTGTTTAAAACCTAAGCGAGATATGGTGCAATTACATTATTTTCCATTTCAATACTATAACATTGTACTGACATATGGAAAGTGCAATGGCACTAAAAATTTCGGACAATAGGGAATTTGTGTGAAAGGGAATACATTTACAACATTTCCAGAAATTGGAAAAATTAGTACCCTCAAACACATAGAAACAGCAAAACATCCACATTTATGTTGGATGCGAACCCATAGGACGATGGCATGTGAATCTGAGAACCCATGGTCATACAGGGATGGATGCAGAATAATAGTACGGATTCATCTGACTGAACCCGTTAGCTTTAGCTAAGATCCTATATTTATTTCAAAAGTTCACTAAATTAGTACAGATAATAGATTTTGAACCCACTAAATCAAATGGACTATGGCCGAATCTTGATTTTGAACCCTTAAAGTTCAACTGCTGAACTCACCTTTGTGGTCACGTTAGTGCTAAACCAACGCTCAATTGGCTATTTTAAATTTTGATAATGTGGTATCAGGGCAAACTGGAAGGCACCTCCACTAATGCACCAGGTAGGTACCTTCTGCCTCCAATTATCCACCCGGTGCATACTAAGTCTCACCACCAAGACCGCTAGGTCACTCCCTTGGGAGTTTGGATAAAACTTAATATTACTATCTACAAATTATAATACACTCAATTACCCGCAAATAAGCACCCTAATATTCAACTTTTTGAGCAGAAAGCTAAGAAAATGTCAAAACCCTAAAACAATGTACTGAAAAATGTAAACAGCTAGAAGATAAATAGAAAAAGAGAGAGAGGGAAACTGACATCGTTCAGGACCAGGACCACCGTCAGAATCGAGCGAATCGAAGCGGGCAGACATACGGGCATTACGGTCAGCCTCAGCGGCTTCTTCACGGAATCCACGTCCTTTGGTTTTCTTAGGTGCGGAGGAAGAGCCGCCAGTGATGGCAGATTTGAGCTTAGGGATTGTAGCCCTAGGAGAGGAGGAGGCATCCACGTCCTCGTCCATCAGATCATCATCCTCTGGCTCGAAATCCACCGCCTCTACCTCCGCATTCGCCATTGCTATTGGAATTGTATTGCAGCTGCTTATACCAAAAAGCTTTCCCCTCTTCGTTCTTCTGCAGTGAAGGATTTGCGCTCTCCTTTCAAGCTGTGTCCAGCCTATTTGGGGGGAATGGACTTTTTAAGGGCAAGGGTTTTGGTAAAATATGGTCCGACAAAAACTGGTTCGGGTCGGTCGGATCAGTAGAAATGACATCGGGTAGCCCCTTTTAAATGGTGTTATTTAGTAAAAATTGCACGGGGCGCCCTATTTGGTCACCCCCATTTAATTTATACCCATTTTTCTAAAAAGTTTTAACTTGTATTCACTTTTTAAATAGCTTCAGCCCCTTTCTCCTCTTCTTTCTTCTCCTTCATTTTCTTCCGCTGCTATTGGTGTTGCTATGAATATATAGTAATACAGATATATGTTGAATCCTGATGACTCATGTATCAAGTTCATGAGGGTTTTATGAAGCTTCTCGCTCTCTCTTCTTCTTCTTTTTGTTTTCTGTATTGTATCTTTCCCTTTCTCAGTTGCTCATCCTTTATTTATTTTTACAATATAGCTTCTGCACCAGCAGGGTACATATACCATAATAATCCCGTGTTAAGAAAATTGAACCATGAGTTACTAGTGTTTCAATCTGGCTAGTATGTTAGAAAGCTTTTTCAAAAATTTCAGCTTTATAGTGCTGAAGTTTTTACAAATGAACTAAATAACTTCAGCATCTTCTGCTGAAGTTTTTGAAAAAGTTTTATGATAAAACTAATGAATCCAGGACAAAAAAACTTCAGCTTATTTAGTGCTGAAGTTTTTACAAATGAACTAAATAACTTCAGCATCTCTGCTGAAGTTTTTGAAAAAGCTTATCCAGGACAAAAAAACTTCAGCTTATTTAGTGCTGAAGTTTTTACAAATGAACTAAATAACTTCAGCATCTCTGCTGAAGTTTTTGAAAAAGCTTATCCAGGCCAAAAACTTTAGCCTTGTTAGTGCTGAAGTTTTTATAAATGAACTAAATAACTTCAGCATATTCTGCTGAAGCTTTTGAAAAAGCTTAATGACAAAACTAATGAATCCAGGACCAAAAAACTTCAGCTTATTTAGTGCAATTACATACAAAAACTTCAGCAAATAGAGAACAAAACTTCAGCTATTATGCTTAAGTTCAGCAATTACAAACAAAAACTTCAGCACACTTGCTACTTCAGGCCCGTCTACTAGAATGGTGAAGTTTGCGTGATTGCCTTTGCTACTTCAGCCCCGTATGCTGAAGTTACGCGAAAAAGCGAGTACTCTTACAATTTTTTTTCCAAAGCGGGCACATGTTAAAACGTGACCCGAAAAGCGAGTATAGATGCAAATCCCCCTATTATTTAGAGGGTGTTTGGCTAAGCTTATAAGTTGGTCAAATTAGCTCATAAGCACTTTTCGGGTTATCTATGCATTTGGTAAAGTTAAAAGTGCTTATAAGCCAAGTGCTCATAAGTCAAAAATAAGCCAAAAGCCATAAGCTGGTCACCCTCAGCTTACTAATTTTTAGCTTATAAACACTTTAAGCTTGACCAAAATTTTTACTATTTTATCCTTAAAATATTCCTTTTTAGAATAAAACTCCTACATCGATTGACTATTTAACCTACCCCCCCCCCCCCCCCCGGCCTCTTCAAGTTTGCAATGATCATTGACTATTTGAGACAAGCGAATTCTCTATTTCTTTGAATATTTGTATCTGTGTGATTGTGTATTAATTTTTGAACTGTATGTAATAAATGAGGATATATCAAATTTTTGGTGTATTGCTTTCTAAGTGTTGCAGTGATGAAGACAGTGTTTGTTTCTCTTCAAATATTTTGTCCTATTTAGGTTTATTTTTTATTGAGAAAATTTTGTCAATTTATTAATTAATATAACTTATGATTATATGTTTATCATAAAAATTATCTTATCTAAGCACAGTCGTATTTGAAATAAAATGACAAATAGAATATTTTGTATTTGAATCAATCCCTTATAAGTATAAACAATTCTAAGGTTATTTAAGTGATTTTACCAGAAAAAGAGCTTATCAGCATTTTTTATCGAATACTGCAGCAGCTTATTATCAATTTCAGCACTTGCATCCAAACACGTAATTGCGTATTTATTAAATCAGTTTCAGCACTTAAAAATACTTTTCAGCACCTAATGCTTATCAGCTACTTCAAATCAGCTAATCCAAACGGGCTCTAAGAATAAAACCACAGTTAATGTATTTAATGGTGCTATTCTTCTTCTTCTTTGTGTAGAATTAATATATACAGACTACTGATTTTTAACGAAAAATAAAACTGTACAACTTCTTACAACTTTTAGATAGATACTTTAAAATACATAACTTATAAGTGAAAAGACTATAAAAACTTGAATTATTATGGCAAAAAAATATTGTTATTGCTTTTTATACATGGTTTATCGTAGAATTACATTTTGAGGTTCGAGACATTGTCCTAAAGTTTAAACGGTATGAATTAAACGTCAAATCATTGTCTTGAAACTTGAACTGAAAATACTAAACTTTATAACATCGGCATAAAATTTGAACTACAAGAATTAAACTTTGGTGTACTTTCTGAAGTTTGAAGAAGCGGGTCCTTGCCGCTCTTTTTAAGTTGCGTGTATATCTTTTAGCATAAATATATTTACAAGTGATGGTTAGCATCCCTAAAAGTGGTTACCGCTGCACTTAATCCCATTTGCCTTTGTGGAGGACATGGGAATGGGCGGAGTGAAGAGTTCTTTTCTCATCGACTTCTTATGGACTAACTGGCGCGACCCAATTCCCACAATAGGTCGTGATGGCGCCCAATACTATCGCTTTAGGCAACCCAGCGAAAAACCACCAACACAATCATCCGTTCACAGTACTTTTAAAATCAAGAATCTCATTTATAAAGCGGAATTTAATTTAGAATTCATGGTTAGATACTTTCATTACTACTAAGTCGCGAAGTGTGAACAAAACATAAAGCATAACGAAATATGTATCAAGTACAACCATAAATATTTACTAAAAATCTCAAAATCCAGTGTCATAAATGCATGAGTGCCTAGTAGAATATACAAAATCACTATAACTACTATTTCAATCAGAAATAGAATAGACAGAAATAAATAAACAAGTAAGAAGGAAACATTGGTTGATGCGGATCGAAGCATGGAAAGCAGCACCACAAGGTCTCCAGCAAATGCGGCTACATGCCCGAGTGACCACGAGAAGTACCTATCTCAGTACCTGAACAATTAGTACAAAAGTGTAATATTAGTACGTAAATCAACGCATACCCAGTAAGTATCTAGTCTAACCTCGAAGAAGTAGCGACGAGGTACCGATACCGACACTTACTAGTGGTCCAAAAATAACGTACTTAAAGTAGACAAGTATGAAACACAACAAGTTCAACAAGAGAGATAAATATCAATAATATGATTCTCAAGCAAGAATAATTACGAAATCACTAAATACCATAAACTGCATTGAAGGAACAAGACCAACCAATATCAATATAAAATCAAATCTCAAGTCAGGAATACTCATATGTACACTGACTCCCTCTCAAGTATTATGCATGAATCTGCCGAGGCGAACGGTCCGATCCCATAAGAATAATATTACACAAAACACGCCGAGGCGAACGGTCCGATCCCATAAGAATAATATTACACAAAACACGCCGAGGCGAACGAACCAATCCCATAAGAATATCTCACAATAATGCCGAGGTGAACGACCCGATCCCCTAAGAATGATTTACAATATTGCTAAGATGACGGTCCGATCCCATAAGAATAAAGAAACTCTCTCACCTGCGAAGATACGTGTGAGTGGAGAGGATACGGAACTACCGTTCATCAAACATTCCACAAAATCCAAAGTAAGAGGTTCAGTTAATATATTTATTCTAGTCTAAATATCAGTAATAAATTCAAGTAATCAAATAAATAAGTTTAATTCAAATAGTATAGTTAAGGCATGGTGTAGGTCTAAATCTACCCGATGTAAACATGAATCTAGCTACGCACGGACTCTCGTCACCTTGTAATTACGTAGCATCCATAACAAGTAGCACACAATAATTAAATAACTACGAGAATAATTTCCTCTTACAAGATTAGGCAAGAGACTTACCTCGCTTTCAAGCCCACTACTCGGTTATCAAACCTCACTAGTCGCCTCAAATCGATGACAACCCGAAACTAGTCAAAGGTCGTACAAACCAATCAATATATGGTCAAAAGCTCATAATTTAACTATTAGAGTAAATCCCCAACCCAACTCGAAAAGTCAACACCGGACCCACGAGCCCGGAGTTCGGAAATTTTCAAAGATAAACGTTACCTATGGTGTTACAAACTCAAATATATAATTTATACCCCGTTCCATGATTAATTTCGTGGTCAAATCTCCTTTTATCAATTTTTAGGTTTTTCACCAAAAATCCTACAAATTCTCATGTTAAAATCCCCACCTAATCTATGTAGTTAACTCACAATACGTTGAAATCACTTATCTTGTGATGCTTGATGAAATTCCCCTTCAAAGAGCTCCCAACCAAGCCAAGTGAAAAGTGCGGGAAATGAGCCTAAGTCCCAAATTAAAAATACATTCTACTCTAGGTCATTAATCGCGATTGCGAAAAATGCCATGCGATTGCGAAGGCCAATATGCCTTCTACACAGAAATGTTCATCGTGATTGCGATGCCCAGGTCTTTCTTTGTGCAAAAATATTGGTTTTTCTTTGCATTTGTTGATTGATTTTTTTTATATAGTATTAAAAATAATTTGGTGCAATTTTTAATTATACAAACTTTGCTTTGGAGTGTGATAAGTAAAATAAAACTCTTAATTGAAATGAAAGAAATATGCAAGGTGGTGCAATTTGTAATACCCTCAAACCATTTTTAATTCGGGAACTCATTCAAATCATTTACTTGATAATTATAACATATTACAGGTAATCGTCAGTCAGTTTATCACCATGGAAACGTTTGTCCAATTACTTTTGACACAATACATAGGGTGTGTTTGGTACGAAGGAAAACATTTTCCAAAAAATATTTTCCAATTTTCCCATGTTTGGTTGGCTTAAACGTTTTGGAAAATATTTT